ACTTCCCAATTGAGTGTTACAAAAGCTTTACGGGCGACGCAACAGGTGGACGTGCATTATCATGTAGGAGAATAACTTTGTCGTGTCTGGGGTAGTAGTGGGCGCGCTTTTCCTTGAGTGCTTGACTCAATCTCATTAATTGTGTTCAGTAGACAGCCCCAGTAATGGTTTTGTTCGGTTTGAGCAACTTATAATACGCAGCACAAAGTTGATCCCACTAAATACACAATAAGAGTTTTATTTTCATGAATATTTGGCTTAGCTGTAGATGTTGAAGCATGACCAGATTTTCATCATCATCATCTTTACATCCCTTTACAAGTCCATTACTGAACATAGGCCTCCCCCAAGGAATACTACAAAACACGGTCCTGAGCCACCTGCATCCATCATTTTGCTGCATGTCTTACCAGGTCGTCTCTCCATCTAGTGGGGGGTCGGCCTACATTTCGCCTACCGGTACGATGCTGCTACTCTATACAGCCGACCCATTGCCACTTCAGCTTACTAATCCGTTGAGCTATGTCGGTTACTCTGGTTCTACTGTGGATATCCTCATTTCTAAAGTTATCACGCAGAGAAACCCCGAGCATACTCGTAGCCCTCTCCATGGCTCGCTGAGCGACATTGAGCGTCCTCATACGACTAACAGTAAAGGACCACGTCTCACATCTATAAGTCATCACTGGCAACACGCAACTGTCAACTTTCTCGGCGTCAGTTGATATGGAACACAATTCGTTTGTTTTTTAATTATTCCCGATGATTTCAAGCGATGTATAATAGATTGTTGAATCACTCGCAAAGATTTTGCAAATTTTTCTTGCGTTTGGAACAAATCTCTTCTTCGATGACACATTCACCGTTCTTAAACTTTTGAAACAACTCACGACAACTACGCGCCTCAGCTGCACATTTGTTCAAATTAAAGAAGTAAATCAAAAGTTCCCGCAAATGACGCTTATTCGGCTCAAAACTCGGCATTTTCGCACACAAAAGAATATATTATACTGATAATAATTCACAAATATTTCAAGGTTATGTTGGTGACAGATGTCAAACCGTACGATAATGATGTTTTTTCATCTGGCAATTTTAATGATATCTTGCTGGTAATGCCAACTTTTGTCAAACGGTGGAAAATTATTTATACACCTCATATAACTTATTTATACAATTTTTTTTTCTTAATTTATTTTGGCAACAAACAGTCGTATACAAAAGAAAATGCAATACAAACAACTTATCTCTTAAAAATTGACCTACAGTGCCGAAAAGTTAAACACAATTTAAAAGAAAGTTACATGGTAACACTACATAGCTATTATTTACATAACAAAACGACTAAGTACAGAAGCATTAATAGAATAGATAGGTATATAAACATATAAAAAAAAATTGCAACTCACTTGCAAACCTTACTTAAATTGGTTTTTAATGTTTGTTTTAAGGTATTGAGAGATGTGTTAAAAAGGTCGATATTAGTAAATTGTTTATTATATAAGTCAGTGGAACGGTATACGAATGCGTTACGAGTATATCTTTTATGTAACCGCGGAGGAACAAAAAGTGGCATTTTACGTGAGGATCGCACTGGAAGACGAGCACGAGCAATAAATGATACCTTTGAGAGAAGTAGAGAAGAGTCAATTAAATTATTCAAAATTTTATATAGAAATATTACATCAAATAATTTTCGTCTATTACAAAGGGATAACAATTTATACCTAAGCAAAGATTCATCATATGATTCGTTAGTAATGTTATTACGATAGTTAAGAGACCTTAGGAATATCTTTTGTACTCTTTTCAACGGTTTTTCAACGGTATACCTGATAACGATTGACAAAGTATTCTGAGTCATAAAAGTTATCATTAAGCCAAGTTTCGGTTAAACATATCGCATCGTAATTGTTGCACAATATTGCATTAAGAAAGTTATGTGATTTAGTGCGTAAACCCCTCACATTTTGATAATAAATGACAAAGTTTGTATTATCGTATTTTAAAAATTAAAGTTAACATCGTTCCACCAACATGTAAGAATATAAATATGTAATATTGTTCGCGCCAAACACTTTCAAGGAACGAACGCGAGAGGGCGTGCGGCTCAGTGTCATACCGGTTTGACATTCGGTCGTGCGTAAAACGCCCAAGGGCAGTCGTCCATAAGTGGTGCTAACGATTGGCACGCTGTATTCTGTTAGGGAACTCGGAATAATTCGGCGCGGCCAGTAAATATATGGTCTATCATTGTGACGCGCATTCCTGCTGGAGAGCTTCCCAGGGACTCATTGTGTTTGACTCAGAATCTGCATAAGTGCATTAGGCAATATTAGCTAGTGCGGCCTCTAATATTCTAGAATTAACTGTTGCGACGCGAAATGGTAGTGACCTTTAATAAACTGTAAACTCCGTGTGCGTTTTGTGTGTTAACCTTATAACCAGCGATAGTTAGTGGCTTCTGTAAGTTAGTAAATCGTACGATAGAGTTAATTGACTGTCAACGTGACGAAAGAAGAAAGTGACTGTGGATAACCTCGAAAGGCCCCCTCAAGTTGGAGCGGTGTCGACGCTCGGGCTGCTGCCGACGGCCAAGGTCTAGGTTCAATCACCATCAGTCACACCCAGATACACACCACATCACCATTCTTTCCCTTGCACTACACAACCACATGCGACCTGACCGACTCCGGAGGGACCAGTCTCCTTGGATAGGTAAGTAAGCTTCATCCAAATTCCTTCCGGTCGACTGGCCGTAGTATAACGCTCCCCCATATATTTTAATGTAATTAGGAATTTCCACGTGGCCACATTGAGGCTCGACCTACGTCTGCTCGGGAAGTCTTCAGCTCATGGGCCCCTGATGATTTGATCCTCTAAGGGAGCAGCCGTAGGCCGTAACAAATATAAACTTCGTATCTTAAACCAAATTAACAGAGACCTTATTCTAATGAGATTAAAAGTAAAACTTGATATATATAAATAGTTACATGAAATATTTGAATGGTTTACATGAAATATACAAAATAAAAATAGTCACTTAATTCTAGTAAGGTCAACTTCACTAGTTACCAGTAATGCTTTGGACTCGTCATTTTTACGTACAAATATCTTGCAATCAGACAACCAAACATATTTATAACTTTTTTCTTTAGCTATTAGACGCACTTGCTTATATAATAATTTATTATGTGGCGATAAATGATCACTAATAAAAATAGGCTTAGGCACACCAGCGTCCACTGTTGTCAACCCACGTCGGGCACGCACAGCTGCAAGCATATCTGATTTCCGATTTCTTTGTGTAAACCTAACGATTATATTAGGAATCTGGGATAGGTTATGAGATCTGCCATCAGCAATATTTGTATTATCGCTACTTTTTGTGTTAAAACGTCGAACACGGTGGATGTAATCAATATCCGATGACGCCAATGGGAAACCAATCTTCGTTGCAATGTTTTGAACAATAGTTAGTAAATTTTCACCCTTAGTAAAAGGTAATCCTGATATTTCTATATTATTGACCCTTCCTTGTTGTTCCCTCGCTTGTTGCTGTTCTGATAGGATATTGACGGTGGATTGTAAGGTACGCATATCCTTTGAGATTGATTCAAACTTAAGGTTATTTTGCTCCATAGAAGATTTCAATAAGCAAATATAATTTTTTAGGGTAGTTTGTTCATCTGATAATTTCTCGGTGGTGAGCTTCATATCATGCAATTGCAGTTTAAACTCACTTAAATCGTCACGAAGAGCATCCAAAGAAGACTTTATGTTGTTATTATGCCTCTCAAGCACATTATTTATAGAAGTAGTAATTTTATTTTGAAAATCAATCATCATCCCTTGAAAATCACATTGGCAATCCGGTAATTTTCTCTTCTTTTGTATGAAATGAACATCTTCGCTGAGCTTTGATACATCAGGGTATGATCCCGATCCTTTTGGCGGGCTTCTACGAACACTCATTTTTAGTTAAAATTATTTCGTAAACAGATGTATTCGAAGGTAGCAGTGTTATCGCGATAGTTAATTGCAATTTACGTAGGATATAAGCGCTCAATACGGCGGTATAAGCAAGGTGAAGCGAAACCAAGCGAAGCACAGGTTGGCTATCCTTTACTCGCAAACTAGTAATTAATGAGTCTGAGCACCACCGAATCTCTAGCCTTCCTCTACGCGCTCGATCGTTGTCGCTGATAAAATTTATAGTAAACACACCCGAAATGCACTGTTGATTAAAAACAAAATGCTATGGGTTAGCTGAACACAACAGAGGAACAATTTTATACACGTGCAACCATGTAGAAATACGAAACAAGACTGAATATGTAAGATGACAATAGTAATTATAAAATTAATAAAACTCTGTGATAGTAAATCTCGTTGCAGTGAAATAACACAGACAAAACATAAATAGCAAGAGCAAGAAATAAGAAGAGTAGGGGAAAACAGACAAAATGAGCAGAAAATAAGAAAAGTGACTCCTTTTCTGGCTAGAAGTCCGTCAGGGTATGAACTATGAGTGTAAATTTTTTTTACGTACCTTAAAACTTGCAAGGATCGTCGTGGGTAGCTTGGTCGGCTGTCAAGTGCTTGTGTCCCGTATTAAAAATTATTTTAAATATAAAACAGCATTTTTAATAAGTAAACAAGTATATTTAAGAACAATTTTAGTAGTGTTATAAGATACATTAGTAGAATAAAGTGAAAACAGTGGTCGTTGGTTGTTACAGTGCAAAATAGTGATCAGCTGTTCGTAACAAGATCAACTGTTTGTCATTAAACCGTATTGCAAATTGCTGCTGTAAACATTTAAGTTATTTAACAAACCTTAAATAGTTAAATGTAAACAAGGTAAATAGTATATAGTAAATCGCTAATTATTAAAGACTCTTATAGTTATACATATCAAATTACATAATCAATACAAACTTCGTACAGCGACATCTATTGGTCTAACTTTCATCTAAATAAAGTACTTGTCAATAAAAATGGCAAATAAGTGCGGCGCCTGTGGTCGTTTTGCTTCTACAATAGACTCGACAAAATGCTCAAGTTGCACTCATTTATTTCATCGCAAATGTGCTAGTATTCCTATTGACGGCCGAATATCAAATAAATGGCAATGCAGCGGTTGTAAGGCAAAAAATGTATGTGCGAGTGGGGTGAACACAATTGCTACGCCTAGTTCGTGTAGCTCGGGCGGCACGGACACAGAGTTCGGCGATGCACAGCTTGGATCCGACGATAGAGGGCGCTGTGAAACTAATGTCGACTTAGCAAACGAGCTAAAATTAATACGCGAGCAGTTGACTACTATTGCCCGCGAAATGGTATCTTTTCGCCAGGAAATCACTAACATTAATTCTAATGTTAGTGAAATAAGTAACAGGGTTAGCGACGTCGAGAAAAGGATCGCATGTCTTGAGGAGCAGGCAACTAACTTGACGAGTCAACCTGGAGGGTCCAAGGTCGAAGATAGCGTAGCGGAGTTAAAGTGTCGACTTAACGAGCGTGATCAAGAATTACTTTTAAACGATTTGGAAATATCTGGTGTAATAGAACAGAAGGGCGAAAACCCCTTGCACCTCGTCACTATGCTTGCGGCTAAAATTGGCACTGAATTGGATGAGCGCGATGTTGTAAGTGCAAGGCGTATAGGCATGCGCCGTGAGGAAATACCAGGCAGCGGTGACAAGCGGAGGCCGCGTCCGTTAGTTGTCCGTCTCGCTCGTCGAGTGATTCGAGATAAACTAATTCACGAAGCGCGCGTTCGGCGGGGGGCGGATACTGCCGATTTGAACTTAGGTGGCGAGCCGCGCCGATTTTATGTTAATGAGCGGCTCACCTCAATCAATAGGCAATTATTTTATAAAGTACGGGAAGAAGGGCGCCGCAAAGGCTGGAGATATATGTGGACGCGGGAAGGATGCATTTTTGCGCGTCGTGATTCTGGCTCACCCCGTTATAGAATTCGAACAGAAATAGATATAAACAAAATTTTTGGGGATTGAATAGTTTGAAACGAATTTTAATCTTGTTCTTTATGTTACTTCTTGCACGATATCAATTTGGCTGTCGTCTGGATTATAATTATTTCTCAATGATTGTTTCCCCTACGCATCTACGTAGCTGCTATTACGAGAACATTTTATTTTTATTTAGACTACATTTTATTTACATTTTATTATTAGGTTACATTTTATTTTTGTTAAGTTGCTTTACATACGTTTATGGAGTATGGAGTAAATTTTTTGACTGTTATTTTGTAGTTACACTTTTAATATTATCACATTTATTTTTTGTCTCTTGTTATAGTGAATATGGTGACAGGTTTAATGTTTGCTTTCTAACGTGTAGCAGCATAACGGGAAATGACGACAGGATATTGTCGGATAATATATTCGCCAATCAATTATGTTTATTTATAACTTATAACTGTGGCCCATATATAGAAATGTATTTGACAGTACATAAGCAGTGGTATCATAGTCTCCTCTATTATGGTTTTGTTTGGGTTATTATTAATTTTATAACGTTTTCGTATTATTATAAATTCTTTGAAAATGACTAAATTAAATAAGTTGAAAATTGGCTTCTTGAACCCCGGGTCTCTTGGTACTAGGCACGACGAATTCCTAGCTGCTATGGCGCATCACTCTGTAGACATAATGGCTATCAATGAAACATGGCTTCGGACAGGGGAGGAAGGCCGGGTGCCTTCTGTTCCAGGGTATCGACTGCTTCACGTACCCCGACCTCCCGAAGTTCGTGCGCGTGGCGGCGGTGTCGGTTTTTATTTGAGACGGGGCTTGCCGTCAAAAATTATTCAACATCCTATTTGTCCCGCGGTGGAGCAGATGTGGTTAAATATTAAAATTAACGGCAAGTCCCTTGTCTTCGGTACTGCTTATCGTCCCCCATGGTTGAGCGTGACATTATTTCTGGACGCGCTGAGCGAGTCCTTAGGTTCTTTTGTAGGCTACGATCAAACAGTGCTGCTTGGGGATTTTAATATCGACATTTTGAATAAAAATTGTGTTAGTACCAAAATGCTTTCGGACTTCCTAACATGCAATAACCTCGTGCAATATGTTGAGGAACCAACACACTTTACTGAATATAGTGAGACACTGTTAGATGTTATATGTTCAGATGCATCGGTGTCATATATAAGTGTGGACTATATTAGTGACCTCAGTAGCCATGCCTTTATTGTATGTGAACTTGACATTCCCAAGCCTAAGTTTCAGCCTGAAAGCGTCACGTATAGATCTTTAAGGGATATAGACATAAACCTTTTCAACCAAGATTTAAAACAAATTAACTGGCACTGTGCATCGTCAGATAACATAAACGATATGATTGATTCTTTTAACAAAAAATTATTAAATATCTTTAATTTTCACGCCCCTCCTAAAACTGTCTATATAAAAAAAAAGTATTATCCATGGATAACGCATAACATAAGATGTATGATGAGGACACGCAACGAGGCTCAAGTGAGAGCCCGGAAAACAAAACTTGCTCCACATAAGGATTATTATAGGGAACTAAAATCAATAGTTAATAAAGCGATAGTTTCAGAAAAGATTGCCTACTTCAAATTTTATATTAATTCAAAACTAAATCAACCTAAAATAATGTGGAAGCACATTAAACACCAAGTTCAAATAAAAAGTAAGGATACTTCTTTGCTATCCCATTTCAGTGACCCTGATGCTTTAAACAATCATTTTCTTAATATTCCTGGTAAAAATGAAGTCTCATTGTCTCTTCTAACTTTCTTTGAATTTAATGGCACTAGTGATAACTCTTTTTATTTCAAAGAAGCCTCGGAGGATGAGGTTGTTAAAGTTATAAACTCTTTGCAGTCTAATGCAGTGGGGTGCGATGGCATTTCTCTTGATATGTTAAAGTTATTACCTAAAGATGTTATTACAGAAATAACATACATAATTAATAAATCTTTTGCGACAAATACCTATCCGGATGTCTGGAAAAAGGCCATCGTTAAACCTATACCAAAAACTAGTAACCCTGTTTCTATGTCGGATCTCAGGCCAATTAGTATTCTACCATGCCTTTCTAAAATAATAGAAAAGCTTGCATGTAATCAGCTAACAAAGTACCTTGAAGCAAATAACATCCTTCCTGAGCTGCAGTCTGGCTTTAGAAAGAAGCACAGCACTACCACAGCGCTTATAGAGGTCGTGGATGATATACTGACTGCACAAGCCAGTGGTGAGGGTACTATTTTAACATTACTTGATTTCTCGCGCGCCTTTGAAACCCTCAATATCCCATTACTTCTTTCAAAATTATATTTTTATGGTTTAAGCAGAAACGCAACCCAATGGTTTGCCAGTTACTTTAAAAATAGGTCACAGCAAGTTGAAATACAATTAAATGGAAAAGGTAAAACTATTTCTGGGGAGCGACCTGTGAACCGAGGAGTACCGCAAGGATCCATTTTAGGTCCCTTACTTTTTATAATATATAGTGCAGACATTATTAAAAATATAGAGTATTGTAAGTACCACATGTACGCTGACGACTTACAGATATATATATCGTTTAAGCCTTGTGATGTTCAAGTAGCAGTGACAAAATTGAACTTGGATTTGGGTCGGATATCTTTGTGGTCAGAGCGTAACGCATTGGTTCTCAATCCAAAAAAGTCGCAGTACCTTATTCTAAGATCGCCAAATCAAATAAAAAAGATCACACTAAGCCACCCTGCCATTATTGTAAACAACGAACCTATTGTGAGAGTCTCTGAAGTCAGAAATTTGGGGGTAATAATGGACGACAAACTTCGTTTTGAGAAACATGTAATGGATATTGCACGTAACTGCTTTTATAGGTTGAAAGTACTTTATCGTATTCGTGAGTACCTAAGTGTCACCTTACGTATACATCTCTGCGAGTCTATCGTGCTTTCAAAATTCAATTACGCGGATTCTCTCATAGGCCCACGACTATTATCTCGAACACGGCAAATAATACAGCGGGTACAGAATGCCTGTGCACGATTTTGTTTCAATGTACCACCACGTGCACATGTTGTAACCCCTTTCATTAATAACGCTAATATTTTAAAAATGGACTGTCGCAGGCGTCTACACTTTGCATCACTTTTGTTTGGAATTATTAAAAATAAAGAACCTTTATATTTATATAATAAATTGATTTGGTCTAAAGATCAAAATAAGCAGTATAATACCAGATCATCCAATTACAAGTTAGTATATCCTTTCTACCGGTCGGCCGCTTTCAGAGGTAGTTTTAAATATAATGCCACTAAATGTTGGAATAACCTCCCGCCTCCACTGCGTGACCTGAAAACAATTAGTGGGTTTAAAATCAAATACAGGTTACACTTACTTTCGGAACAAAAAAATACCGATCTATAAAAAAACTGGTAGGAGGTTAAGTTCTTTCAACACGTCAGTAATCTCAGTCCCATAAATTATGTAGATATTTTAATTTTCACTTTATATAATATATAAAACTATTTTATTTAAATATTTGTATAATAAATTTATTTTTTGTGACAATCATTTTCTTACCTTTATTCTTTAGCCAACGTTTATTCCGCATCCTTAATAAATAAAATTGATATATTTAGAAGGAAAACGTTAATTCTATTGTGTACTTACCTTCATTAGACTAATGATGTCCACTATTCATGTGAATAAAGATTTAAAAACACATATTTTTTTATGTATTCCGCGTCGCATTATAGCATTTGCACTGAGGCAGCCGTCCGAGTTACCTCGGAGTGCGGGCCGGACTGAAAACCAGTGTCGGGATCAGAGCAATTCATGTTTCTGTATCTCGATTTATACTGAGTCCTGTCCATTTCACGGTCTTATGCTGCTACACAGACTCATTTTATATTATTTTTACATTTTTGTTAATTTAGGGAAATATTGTTTTACTTTCTGTTTAATTCCATTTTTTTGCTTTGTTTTGTATCTATTGTGATTAGACCGTGAATAAATGTTTTTTTCTTTCTTTCTTTCTAAATGTATGTTGTAGGTATGTTACAGTCTCAAGAGCACAGAGTCAGTATAATTAAAAGCAGTGAGTCATTTCATCTTAATCATTAGAAGTAAAAACGCATCTGTAGTCTTCTTTATTTAATAATGGCTCCAGGTATCGATTGCCTAAAATAGCCACGTACTATAATATGGACTAAAATTTTATTTGTCACTTATATTTTTATATTTTTAGTTAAAATAAAAGTAGTCAGTCGTATTCATATAGTAAAAGAATCTAGATATAAGGGCCACCGCGAAATTGAAATTAGTGTACACATTGAACCAGTATGTAGGAGTAAAACCATAAAAGTGGGCTTTTATAAATGTTTACATATGCAATAAAATAAAAAAATTAAAAATTAAAAAAAAAAAACAAAAAAAAGCACAAACGTGATGCATCAAGCCAGTACGGATTTCAAGCGGGCAAAAGTACTACGGACCTTCTATGTAAGTTTACAGATGAGGTAAACAAGCATTTGAACCATAAAAAATGTGTACTAGCCTTGTTTATTGATTTTTCTCGTGCTTTCGACACGCTACAAAATCAAGTCTTAATCAATAAACTAGATGATTGTGGTATCCGGGGTCCTTTGCTAAATTGGTGTAGAAATTACCTCCTAATTCGTACATTTACGGTTAAATTAAATAACTCGTTCAGCGACCCTAAGATTTTGACAGAAGGCACGGCCCAAGGATCGGTCCTTGGCCCGTTGCACTTCTTATCTTATGTCAACGAGTCTGAAACACAGTTCCTGTTACCAATTCGCAGACGATACGTGTCTTCTCGTATCGGGTAAGAATATATCAAATGCGTGTAATGCTCTTCAAGCCGATTTGGATACGTTGATACGATGGTGCCATGAAGTTGGCCTATTATTAAATGCCGATAAAACCAAAATCATGATTATCAAATCCCCATACATGAGATTTCCTAATCCAAACCCATTAATTGTTCATAATCACGACTGCCTACATCAACTAGGAACTTGCCAATGTCCTACAATCGAAGTTGTGACCACACAAAAATACATCGATCTTATAATTGACCCAAAGTTTAACTGGAGCTTCCACATTGAACATGTGTGTAATGAATTGGGTCAGTTTCTAGCCAAAATAAAAATCTTAAAAAATCGCATACCATTCAAAGTAAAACTGATGCTTTACAACTCTCTGGCTAAATCCTATATTCAATATTGTTTGTCAAGTTACGGTCGGACATACAAATCATATTTAAAACAGATCTATGATCTTCAACTTAGAATTCTTAAAAATATTGTATCCCCAAATATGCGTGTCCTAATTGATGATGATGAAAATGAGATTTTTAAACATTGTAAAATCTTACCAATTTATGACCAAATTAAATTCATGTTATTAAAGCAATATTTCTTTTGCGATAACATAAAGTCATACATAGATCAACCTGTACGTACGCGCGCTATAACTAGCTTGCTACATATATATTTATCTATGGCTATAACACAAAACCGGCTCCGGTACATCACTGCTAATAATGTCTACAGGCAGCGGACGGCCGCTTATCAGGTACCGCATTTAATAAATAATTTACCTTTCGATTTACGCGAAAAAATTTCACAAAAAACATTAAAACTAAACTCAAAAGCTTTTTCACATCTAAATTATAATTGCCTACTATATCTACTTACTTAACAATAACATACCTACCTGCCTAGTTCTTACTTTTACCTTGCTACTACTGACTTTAACTAAGTTGTTAACTTACCTTCTTAGTCTTTATATTCTTCCTATATCCACACCTACTCACATACCTAACTACTTACTTAGACTGTGTCTTGCACATAATATGCTGACTCAAACTTAATTATTTAGCATCAAGTCAAACCTCCGTGGTTTTTAGATGTTAATTAGACCTATACATGTATTTTTTTCTTTCGATCTGATAAATAAACTAAAAAAAAAAATTCAGGCTGCCACGACTTGCAAGTGTGAGTGTTTAATGTTTATTTAAAAAGTAATAATATATAGAAAAACCAAACTAATCCAAAATTATTCCGTACTCAAACTTGCACCTAGACGTAACTTTTTGAATTTAGAGAGGCTATTTGAAAAAATGTCTACGTCCGTTTTTTTTTCTGGAGCTCATTGTGTTGTCGTTGCAGCCCGTTCATGATCGCGTGATGGCTGAGATTGCGTTTGGATCCCTTGGTAGAAAATGGTGTGTATTTCCGTTTTCACGAGATTTTACAGGGTGTATTAAGCTGAAGCTGTCAACAGTCCAGGACAGTCCAAACCACCTCTTACAATTTTATATAAAAATAAATGGTCTAATACAAGCCTCCTATGTTTTAAGCTTTTCATTTTGAATTTTGAATTTTGAAAATCTATCGACGTACGAAGGCAACTGCTTAGCTAGATTGGATTTAAATGAGACATGCCATAAAAATAGTTTTCTAAACACGTTCTAGTCGCTTAACATACACTTCGTAGTGTGGTGACCAAACCGGGCTGCAATACTCCAAAATCGAACGAACGTATGCGTTATATAATAAAATTTTAGTGACTAGTTTTCGTTCCTTACAGTAACAAATTACAAATCCTAGCATTTTGGAGGCCCTACATGTTATGTAGGGCCTTCAAAATGCTAGGAATATATACCATGTCCTCAATGTGTTTGTGTAGGCGAAGTTTTTTACAAACACATTTGTTTGTAAAAACTATATTGGTCGCGTAAAAGTAAGAAATCATAATGACTTATGCACGTGTCAATGAAACAACGCAGATATATAAAATCTATCTGCGTAATAGACTCTCACCAATGCCATCCAACTATATTCACCTGTCTTAACCCTACCTTAGATATAAGGCTATCGAAGTGCGTACACACGTGAAATCGTTTGCCCCGTACCCAATACCCACGTCCCAATTAAAGTGCATGCTATGAATAATAAGTCTTCCGTGCCATCGGAATACCAAAATTATATTATATATAATATTTACGATTTTATATATATATATATATATATATATATATATATATATATATATATATATATATATATATATATATATATATATATATATATATAATAATGAAATTCAAAATATAAAGTAGTATAAAAAGTGTTTTGCAGTTTTTAAAAATACGCTTAATAAAAAGAGTTTTTGAAAATACCCGTAATTGGTGATTTTTGGGATTTTTGTGTACTGACTCGTACAATCCGCGAGCCCTAAGCCACATGAGTATATAGTAGTACAGACTGTAAGAGAGTACAGAGGCAAAGGTTCTACAGAGGTGTCAAAATGTTTACCTATTTTGGTAGGGTTGACATAGGAGGATAAAACTAAATAAACAAAACGTTTATCAGCATTTTAATAGATACTTAAGATAATATTTTTTAAAACGTCGTATTCTAAATGATTTACTTATATAATTATTGTCCTTCAATGATTAGTTATGGCTTTAAATTAAATAAAAAATTCTAATTTTAATATAATTTTTTTTAAATTATCTATTGGGAATCCCGCATTTCATAACAAATATAAATTTTTGAACACGTTTTAATATTTCACTACGGTTACGGCCTACGGCTGCTCCCATAAAGGTCAAATCCCAGTCAGGTCCGGCCCATTCAGCTGAGTTTCGACGAGCAGACGTAGGTCGGGCCTTCAAAGGCCAAAGTGGAAAATCTCTAGTTACACTAAACAATAAGGGGGAGCGTTCTGTGGTGCGGCCATTCAACAGGGAGAATATTAGACGGAGCTTACTTACCTATATCCAAGGCGACTGGTCCCTCCGGAGTCGGTCAGGTCGCATGTGGTTGTGTAGTGTAAGGAAAATAAGGTGCTGTGATGTGTATCTGGGTGTGACTGATGGTGATTGACCTTAGTAGACCTTGGCCGTCGGCAGCAGCCCGGGCGTCAGCACCGCTCCAAATTGAGGTAATCTTCCGCGGCGCCGTCCACAGTCACTTTCTTCGTTCGTCACGATGACAGTTCATTAACTCTATCGTACTATGAACTAACTTACAGAAGCCACTAACTCTCGGTTGTTATAAAGCTTGACACACAAAAACGAACAGGTAGTGTCCGGATCAAAGGTCACTACCGCTTCGCGTAGCAACAGTTATTTCTAGAATATCAAAGGCCGCTTTAGCTAATATTGTCGACCGCACTTATACAGATTCTGAGTCAGACACAATGAGTCCCTGGGAAGCTCTCCAGCAAGGAATGCACATCACAAATCCTAGACAGTATATTTACTAACCACGCCTAATTATTCCGAGTTCCCGAACAAAAATTGACAGCGTGCGGACGTTAGCACAGCTGGCAGACGACTGCTGTCCACCCACCGGACCCACGACCGAATGTCAAACCGGTATGGCACCGAGCCGCGCGCCCTCTGACGTCGATTCCGAAACAGCGTTTGGCGCGAACAACTATCAATATTTACAATTTTTCTTTCGACGTTAAAATACTCGCGAAATTTTTGCTCCAGAAATTCAACAAACGCGATAAAATTGTCAGGAAGTATTATTAAAAAACCCGATTGAACACCATTAAATTCCTTGCAGTGGTTTAAAATATAATCTTTTCCCATATTTTTAGGTTGTGCAGATCCATTAAGGTATTTTTATTTTCTAACATTTGTGGTGCTCGAGACAACATTTTCTAAACAAATATTCCGACACATGAACTAAGCCATTTTTTCCGGTTAGTCAAATAAATAATCATTTGTTCCTACTATTAAAACAGGAGCAGTCACATTATCAGGTTACGGTGATGGTGTATCGTCGTGTTCAATGTGTTACTTATGTAACCAGAAAATCGTCTGTTTTCATAAGTAACATATTAAAATCGTATTCATAATTTACCACCCGCCTGTCTGATTTTTCTAAAGATACTTTCGAACAATCTTGATTGAGACTAAATATAAGCTTATTTATTTTCTTATGATTTTAATTCTTCATAAAGTTTTATTAAAGATTTTATAGACACTTGAAATCCATGAATGAAATTCATGCTATTTGTAACGTCTTCAGAGAGTCGTTGACAGAAAGTTCTTCATTTTGACTTCTTATTGATTTTAAGTTCCTGAAAAAAGTTAAAAGCTCAATTTGATAACTATCCTATCGAAAAGCTCTTTTGTATTTATTAGGAGATTGCAGTGTTCTTGAGTTTAAGAAATGAAACAAATTATTAATTTAATTAACAAAATCAGCGGTAAGAGTTTAAGAAATGAAACAAATTATTAATTTAATTAACAAAATCAGCGGTAAGAGTTTAAGAAATGAAACAAATTATTAATTTAATTAACAAAATCAGCGGTATCGCTTGCGGCAACCTCTATAAGATTTAAATCTACGTAAGCCATATTTACACTTTTTTATATTTCATTTAATACGAATTATTCTTTAAAAAACAAAATTTGACACTTAATGTTTTTTACACAACCCTGAGCTTGAGCACTGGCCGAGCCGGTTTAAAGCAGTTTCTCTCTGTATGTTACATAGTAGTGTACCTATCACAGCGCGGTTGTATAAAAATTTGCCTATGTACGGTACGATTTCTTTATTTATGTGCCTAAGCTGAGCTTTGCATTTGTGTGAGTACACATATATAGTGTTAGTGTGACGTCGGCCTTTGCTTTGTTTAAACCGGCTTATACTGGTTTATGGCAATCGGCCAGAGGCGCGGTGCGTCCCTCGCGCGAAACAACTCCGCCGCGCACCTTCCACACTTCACCTCTTGTACTAGCAGCAGCGTGACGTGTTTTATTCTTAATATTTGGTTTTTGAGTTTGATTTATACGAAAAAT